TCAATTTAGGTGAAGTTTTTGTGTTTTTAAATAACCGAATGGTAACAATAAGAATATGTCTTTCTTAAACCGGAGAAGGAAGACATCATATAAAAACGCGGTTTAAAGCAATAAAGATAAATATGTGAAAATAGATAAATAGATTAATAAACCTCACAAACCTCGTATGTATAGTGTCTATGTGTAACAGGAAAATCCACAAGTATCCCTTCGGAACCCCAGGTGGTAATTGTAAACAAAATTAGACGAAACTTGCCTGTTAACTAAAGTTCTCTACTTGAATAAAGATTAGAGTACATACATTGTTTGTAAGTGTTATATCTATATTTGTAGACATAAATGTACTTGATGTAATTGTTTGAACTACGGTACCCTTTTAAACCGAAAGTAAGACGACGGGTATTTCCAGTTCTGCGCCGGTAATGACCACGCAACACATGGGGGACATAAAGGGTATTTATTATGATTTTGACAGTAAGACAGAGTATCGCATGAGGGACATAAAGAGTATTTATAATGAACATTACAGTTAGACAGAGTATCCCATGAGGGACATAAAGAGTATTTATAATGAACGTTACAGTTAGACAGAGTATCCCATGAGGGGCATAAAGGGTATTTATAATGAACGTTACAGTTAGTCAGGTCTTTATAAAAGAAAGAAACTTACTGTTCTCCGTTTGATAGTGAGGCACGAGGTATTTCATGTATATTCTGAAATTTTTCGACTTTATTATAAATTTAACAGTAAGTGAATCATACAATATACTGTGATATATTAAGGGTATTTCCGTTTTCATTCAGAATAATTATTTATCTATAGGCACATATCATATTGTCTGATTGGCCTCGTTTTGAAACTTTACATACTATCTCAATACAGACCTTTGAAATTATTAGGAACAATAACAAAATTATCTTGGTTCAGTATTAGATATTTCAAAGTAACCATTAATAGGATAGGATTACAGTACAAAGGTACAATCATTATTAAAATGCATTTTGATAAAGTTCGGCTGGATAATCGATCTACCGAGAAAAAAAATAAAGGAAAGATAAGAATTTGAGAAGAAAACTTTGATACCAGATTTATATCGTTCTGGTCATGATTAGTGAAACACCAAGATACATCAATTATTTCCAGTTTTTTATCAAACATTTGTTTCCCCTAGTTTTTTTATTATTGTTTAATTTTGGATTGTTATGTTGACATGTTGGTGTCTTGTTGTTGTTATTTATAACGACTGTCTCCTATATAATAAGTCTTGTTGATAGTCCATAATGTTTTAATTGTGAAGCTATAATGCACGCTTTCCAAATCTGATTTTGAAGAAGGCCAACTATGTTATCAGATATCGAGTCTCTACCGTTTGTGTGTGTGTGTGTGTGTGTGTGTGTGGTATTTCGTGGGTTTTTGTTTTGTTTTGTTTTTTGTTGTTGTTGTTGTTCCTGTTTTTTTTTAATTTTTTTGTCAGATTTCTTTATAGTTGATTCAATTAGCATTTGATGTAAAATTGTGTTTTTTGTTTATATGATAAAACTAACGTGGATTTCTCTAGTGATTCAAATATATATACAATCAAGGAGTGTACAATTTATCAATTCCAGCTCTGAGTGGTCTGATTAAATTTATAAATCTGAAAATACATATATTTATTGTGTATAGCTGCTGTTGAATGTGAACAAAATCCATTTCTATCTTTGTCAAAGTTAAATGGAAGAAAATAGGAGTCACGTAACCAAATTGAAAATATGACAGCTGAAGTATATGGACCCATGTCGTAGTCTGACTGTAATAAGTATGTAATAGTCTACTTGGTATTGTTTTCTATAATACTAGAGGTTCAGAATTTAACAAATGCTAGCTCGTGAATATTCGTAAGAATAAACAAGAGCAAATCTATGTATGGATAAAATGTAAGCAATATATGTTTTGACTGTTGTTAAGATGTAAACGACAAAAATTGGTTGTGAAAAAAGAAGTAAACTTTTGATTTTTATTTACTGTACCGAACACAAAAAGGTTACATTACGTTGACCAGAGAGATGCCAAAAATAATATGAGTCAAATAGATGATATTTATAGAAAAGACGGAAATTTGCGAAAATCCTAAGATTTATAAGAAATGATAAACATGGATCATTGTGTGTAAATCTCATTTACGTGTTATATGTATAAGTATAAAACATTACTGTAGTTTAACTCACACGTTTATGTACATATGATATTACTTATATTTACATGGTTTGCTATGTCATAATTATTTCTTGACTCATTAACAAAGCGAACGCACCAATAACACGGTGTGCTGCAACCCTATCCACCCCTTATACCTGTTCATCTGACCCCGTGGACGAACAAAATGTCCGCTATTTCATCACTATATATATATATATGGATTAGTTATATTATTCCTCTACACCACCCTACTGTCTTCACCGTTTCCACATACAAATACCGCAACATATGTTTTCAAATATTACTGTCCCCCAACGCCAGAAAAAAGATCCCTCCGCCATTTTATCTCTTTTACCGGATTTATTTTTACTTGCTTCTATTCTTTAACTTTCTCAACTCCTATAGAAGCACAGATTCGGAGCTGCAAGTTCAGTGTTTTCACTTTGTATCCTACATAATTTGTCCTCTACTCACCTACTACGTTTAATTTTATAGTTGACTTTACTGGAACAATCGGAGTTAAGTATCATTCCCAATTATAAAACTCGGCGTTCGTGATGGGATTTCTGTCGATATGTTATTTGCTAATGTTTCCATTTCTTTTGACCTTTCACCTAATAATTTGTCGACCTAACTTGTCAAAGATTGTGTCGTTTTAATGATCTCATCGAGAAAGTGTTTTACTTAATTCGAAATGCGGCAGCACATACTTGGATAGAACAAAACCTATATATAAAATGTTTTGTCGCCGCAACAGAAAGTGCTCTTTCAACATCTGTAGTAATTATTCTGGCAATTGTTTATGAATCTTTGTTTGAAACTATCTTGTTGATAATTTGACACATTTTTAATCTCTGTGAATTTGAGTTAAGATGTCTGTATATTCTTTGTTGATATTGTATAGTTAAGTTGCATGCAGCTGAAAGTTCTTTACACATAACTCATTTCCTTTCTAAATGTTTTGAATGTACTTTTATCCTTGATCATGTTATTTTATTTCAGAAATAGTCTATTGATATGAACAATCAATAGGATTAGATAGCAGGCTAGAGCCTATATAAGTCTTCTCCCAAGACAACATGGTGGTCAGACATAAACATAAATACATACATACAAACCTTACATAACATACATACAATCATACATTTAATTTTACAGATTAATCAATTTTAAATTAAGGGAGACAACTCTGTTATTTTTTTACACTTTAATCATGCTATCAACTTTGGTGTATTATTGTCATCAATGATTAAAGCGTAATTGATATCTTATCTTATCTAATGATTTGACTTGAGAATATGTAGTGTATGGGAAAGTTTTACATAAATACAATAGATGGACTTTAAGAAATGGACAATGGTCGTTATCAGTGTTGAAATACGGTGTGACCCTCTCAAAGGTCCGTTTAATTACAGTAAATGGTAATTCAAAGGCACCCAAGTATAATCGGAAAAGGGTTGGACATTGCCTCAATCTATGACGTGTGTTTGATCAAAAACATTTATCTAGGACAGTGATTGTCAACAGTATGACTTCGACTAGGAACAGAATCATAACTGTGCGGTTGTGATTGTGACGGACAGTTTTATTTCACAACTCCCTCCAGAGATATACAAATGAACCTATTCTATAAAAATGGTCTAAAATTAACAAAAGTATGGTCTGTACAAGACAGACAAAGGACAATAACTCTTTAAAAAGTAATCAACATTTTATGCACACAATAACTGTAAATCAAACGATAAAGAGATACTTTTGTGTCTGTAAAAGAAATAAAACAAGTTCTATAGGGAAAGGAAAATAAACAAAAGTGTATAATCGAGTAGGAAAATATCAATTTTACAACCGGATGTCAACTTTCTTCACGTTAAATGGGGCACGTGTCTGGGATGACAGGTGGACGAATAGGCAAACATGATGATAAATCTGACAAACTACGTTAATTCCGTAGGCTGAAAAACTATCAGATTAACTACCATCAGTTTCACACATCAATGGTGACTGGACATTGGACATAAATACGGACATGATTCGTCAATACATTTGGGACCTTATGATTGCTTAGAAAGTGAACTTATGATGTTTTAACTGACAATGACTTCCGTATAAGATAATGCTATTTATATCACAGGGAAATCTCTATTATTGTGCAAAAGGTGAAGATTTTATGATAACAGTTAATTCAGCGTCACTTACAATTAATCACAGCGAAATATTGTGTAATATTAAATGATATTAATGGCTGATATTTCATCTGAATCTGATATACTACCCCTAGGATACATAGAGACGGTACACTGATACGAAGTTCCGATGAATTTGAATTGAATTAAACATATTTTATTGCAAAAATTATTACAATAGGATTAGGTACAAGTTATTACAACTTATGAAACACCCTTTCCCCAATATATAACAAAATATAGTTAGACAACGCAATAGCCATATGGCAACAAATACACTAACTACATATTTTAGGAGAGAGAGAGAGAGAGAGAGAGGATTGAGGGGGTAGTTTTGGCGGATGACGTCAAGTGAACCTATTACTAGATTTAATAAAGTTTTGGACATTAAAAAAAATTCGAGTTTGTTTCAAAAGAAAGATCATTATTACCATACAATATCAAATCTAAATCACAATGCATTGGTAAATTTGAATCATCTAAATGTTGAAAAAGAACATTTCTTTGTAAATTATAATGACAACACATAAAGAAAAAATGATAAGAATTTTCACACAAATGTCCACAAGAACGAAGATTCGATGACTCTCGTTTTGGGGTTCATTATAGCAAAAGTCAAATGAAAACAGATACAAAACTTAGCTCAATAACAAGTATGGTATTTGTCCCTTGTTGCGTTTAACGTCCTTCGGCAAGGCAACTCTTGAGCTCCGAAAAGTAATTAGTGTAAGTTTAAACTGTATCATTTCATCATCAATTGGTCGCCCACAACACCATCTACATGAATGGGTGTGTTCTGTTATAGTGTACACTTTTCCGGGTTTGATTTGAACTAGGTCTTCCCTTCCAAGCCAAACTTTGCCTATACAATCTGAATCAGTTTTCATTCTTGTGATATTATCAGCTTTATACGCAACTTTGTCATCTTCATAAATGACCACGTCCACAGTGTTATCGCCTTTTGAATAGAATGATCCAAATCCATGTAAATTGACATGATCATTTACGGTAAATGAAACTGACGCGGTCCCCGAGTCGCAATCGCCAAGTACAATAACCTCACAACGCCAAACCTTCTTCAGAGATGCATCTTTTCGTTCGCTGTTATTAAGTTTACAAGCAGAAATGTCTTTGCTTTCCAGTTGTTGATGGTATTTTCGAATGTTAGCGATATCATCAGCAGGAAGTATCTTATCAGGAGAAACCTCTTTTTCAAATAAGTCACAATTCATCACCAAAAACCGCACGGTATAAAGGATATCTCCCAGAACTTCTCTGATGTTTTCTGGTGTTTCCTACAAAACGAAAAAAAAACCCTTCATTGCCAATACCGAAGAAAGACAATATTTGTAATTTCTTGCGTCAAAAAAAAGTGGAAAAACGAAAAATATTCATATTGTTTTTTTTATCAGGATATCAATTTATTATAATAATATGTTAAATTTCAGAAATAAAGAAAAACTTAGTTATGGAATTTTAACACTGCAATGGATGCCCTTACTGAAATATATACATATCTACAGACATATTGTACCGGGGCCATTTTACCGTTTGGTCATTTCATTTGATAGAATTTCTGTCTAATCTTGAATTCGTACCATAAGTCGATACACTAACTACCAAGTCTTCTGTACCAACTCCGTACATGATAACACTCAAGATATAAACGTTTCTCATTCAGATTTTTACCCAGTAAAATCGGGGCGTTATAGTGAAACATACTTGTGATCTTTTCACATCCTTCACCAATCAGATTATAGCATTTTGAAAAAAATATCAATTCTGCTACGGTACATTGCTGACTACAAGAGCAAAACTTTTCCAGAAAAATAGCCCTATAAATTGACAGGAAAGTCTCACTTTGTTGTAATGAATTGACGTGCCAATTGAAACTTCATCATCATATTACGTGTATTTACTTTTATGTGTTATATATCAATATATATATATTTCAAATAATTATAACCTACAGTGTAATACCCTCTCTAAACACAGATGCTTATTTCTAGGATTCAAGAAATGAGTAGATCAATCTTACCTCTAGATCATTCCTCCTACACTCTGCTTTCCCCCAAGCAATGACAGTTTTATACACATCGCTCTCGACTGCATTGAGAGCATTATAGCCGGTAACGCTGGCCACACAACTTGGACAAAGATCCAAGAATACGGCAGACTGTAACACAACTGTGGGAGAATCAGCGATCAGTTCAAGGCAGCTTTTAGTCAGACTATCTATCATAAATAGATGAGCCTGTTCTAAGTAATGACAAACATTTTCAGTTGATAGTGTCTTTTTCAGAAATTCTTCACAGCGAGACACGAGTATATCAACACAATACTTTCTGGCGGCACAAAGAATCATTACAACGTTGTCTTCTGTCAGTATGGTGTCGTCAGTGTATAAATACCTAAAAATATAAAAGAAAAGTAAATGAATACAGTCCATATATATATATAGAAATCTGTGTAATGGTTTGTCTTCAATTTCTTAACGTTCTATCAACAGCCAGGGCATTTAGTAACGATATTTCGATGTATACGGTTCTAGTGTATATGTTGCGTGCGTGTGTATGCAAGGAAGACTTTGTTATGTTTGTGTAAACATGATAGCGCTCCTTCAATGAAGTATATAGCCGAAGACCCCCAGCAGGACACTGCATCCAGTTATCAGATACTAACATCGAGAAATCTTGGCGTTTTACTACCCCAATCCCGAATCTTGGTTATTTCGAATATGCACATCATTTACTTAAATATATTATCAATATCACGACATTCGTATATTCAGCTACTCATTAAATAACGCAACGTGTTCTATTCATGGTGATGATGAAGTTAAACGTGTTTAATACCAATGCTTAACGAAATAAGTACACACAAATAATAGGAACGTTACGGTCGTCCGATCCTGAAAATAAAATCGCATACTTCTAAGTTTGCATGGCAGGTGATGCTTACTCTTGTGGAACACCTGATCTTTACCTTTTTGTACTGTGTCATGAGTCTCCATGCAAATATTTCTTTTGTTCATATCTTGATACAATTTTACTGAAAATGAGTTTAGATTATGATTATGTTGACATTCTTGTTATCTTTTGTACATACCTGAGAAACAGCCGAAATATCTGCTCTGAAATATCGGGGATGGTTATTTCGCCTTGTTCGGCCAAAGGTCCCTCAAACATGGCATAGAAAACCGGACTCCTGCTAAAGAGGACCAGTTTGTGGGCGGGGATTCTTATCTTGTTTTCGCCGACAAGAAATGTGACGTCACTTCCAATACTTGACGTTAAGAGGTGGTCAAAACATTCTAACAGGGTTTTCCCACTTTGCCAGTCTAAATATGACGAATCTGCCATCTTTCTTCTGTCGAAACGAATGTTAAATATCAGTTGAGAGTTCAAATGTTAAAATGCACATAACAATATGTAAACATTGTTTATACAAAATTATACACGTATAAAGAGGGCATTAACAAGTCAATATTAGGCATTTACACTTACAACACTTTGGCCACACTCAAACACTTATGTAGAATTGGTTTCAGTCTCCTAGAATGCTTCTTGCCAATTTTGGTCAAAATCCGTTCAGTAGTTCATGATAAGTAGCGACTTTAAGGGAGAAAAGGACGACGGACGGACGCAGACGTCGCGTAATTGCATGTGCTCATCAGCATGCATAATAAAAGTGTAAATGTTGTGTTTTATTACAGAAATCTTTATTATAATGTACGGAATTATATATTGACAATATACTATATATCAAAACTCAGTTGTAGATTTTAATCTCTAATAAGTTCAAATAGTTTTTTGAAAGTATGATATTCGGAAAAGAATAGTGACATGTGCCGATCGGGGGAAGGGGTGTTAAAATGTTAAATAAAGGATAGAGTATTATGTAATATCATTACCACATATAAATTACGCATAATTCGGTGTCTATAATATACACAAGATCTGAAAAATTACGACTATTCAAGTTTTATAGATTTTAAATTATATACATTTTCGATAATTATACATATAACTAAGTGTATTTAATACACATAATTCGAATGTATATTAGGTGCTTATACATATACGCATTATTTTCGAGTCTACATGGGTCACGGCCAATTTGGATGAATCTGAACACATACAATAGTAATTCCTGGCAGAGTGTGAAAATAATCATAAATATATCTGTATATTATATACTGATGTTTCGCTTGTTAATTGCTCTGCCTGTCAATGGCAACATCCTGTGTCAGTGACGGGTATGTGTATGCCCCGCGGGATAAGAGTCCCCCTATCAATTCGCACGCTTCACCTCACCTCAGTCATTTGCAGGGGGGAAATTAATTAATTATCTACATTCTTTAATATTAAAAATAATAATTAATTTAGAACTCTGAAGTTAATTTGTCGTTCATGTAGAATCACGTGCATACCTATTTTTTTATTACGACTCTCCTGTAGTATTTTTTTTCTCGAAGTTCCATCTGCTATTTCGATTTCCCTAGGCCTATCGAAGGAGATAAATTGGAAATGCCATTATTATATCGCTGTCATCATACCACCATAATTATTATGTTCCGACAAATATTGTACTTGACTATATGTGGAAGAAATGTTAGACAAATGACCTTTTTATACAGATGATCTATTTAATATATACACATACAGGAAACGTATTTAATATACATATTATATATACGGATCGATATAGGAAACTTATTTAATGAATATTTTTCGTATATGACCCTATATACTTATGGGTTTTAATATCTTACCTATATGTTTAGATATTTTAAGAAAACGTATTTAATATGTCCCGATATACTTTTTTACGCATTTAATACTCCTGTTGGGCCTACATCATGATATGTCTCATACTTACGTATATGCGTATATACTGTACACTTTATACATGTAGAGTTCTACATAAATCCCGATATACTTGTAAACTTAAATTTACATCCTATATGAAATAAGACCAAAATGGGGTAGAATAAGTCGAAAACTGAGCGGAATCGTGTAGAATTGGATAAACCGACGTTCCCGGCTTGGTTTCCATTTACAGCAAGATAACAAATTACAATTTTAGCACACGAGTTGAGTCAATATCATTTTAACATTAATAAATCGATACCCAATGAAAAATCTGTTGTATGTAAATTTTGTTTCCTGTGACCTTAAATGCCTAAATTTTATCGGCAAGACAGACTTTATAACATTATCTGAAGTTACACTGTACTGAACTTCCCCTTAAAACCATGTGCTATATTAAAAAATAAAATAACAAACCCGTTTTTTTCTCACTATATTTTCAACATAGTATGGTTTCATGACAATGACTTGATATTATACACTTTTGGTGTATTATCTAAGATTAATGCCCAGTTAATAGTCTACCAGTAGTCCTGTTATTCCTAAAATCTATGTTTTCACTGTCCTAATGGTCCTGTTATTCCTAAAATCTGTTTTCTCTGTCCTATTGGTCCTGCTGTTCCTAAAATCTATGTTTTCACTGTCCTATTGGTCCTGCTGTTCCTAAAATCTATGTTTTCTCTGTCCTGTTGGTCCTGCTGTTCCTAAAATCTATGTTTTCTCTGTCCTGTTGGTCCTGCTGTTCCTGAAATCTACATTTCCTCTATCATATTAGTCCTGTTTTCCTAAAATCTATGTTTTTTCTGTCCTAGTATGTTATTTCTCTTATTTGTGCTCATAAATAAAATTCTGCAGTGATTAAATAATAAAACTAAACTTTTGAGAAAAGATTCCTCTAGTACCTTTCATGGAGGCCCTTCAATTTATATCAATAGATCCCAATAGATCAATACCAAATGAAAACTTCGATCCCGGTGTCACTTAATCCCTAATTGTCATCCTCTATTTCTTCTCCTTTGTCTAAACGCGCCCAGGTATCACACCTTTACGCCTGACTGCGTCTCCCCTGCTCTCCTGGTAGCCTATCCCTCGGTCACCAGTATACCCATCGAAGGTATCACGGGCCTCCATAATCAGCTATTTATGGAAGAAGTTTCCTTACGAACTCTTTTGCATAACCTCTTTTTTCCTCTGCAATACATGTATTATAGCACATCGAAAACAGTGACATTTTCACCGGGTATCAATCAATGTCGTTGAATTGTTTAAAATTTAAAAAGAATTTGGGATTTTCAGCCATAACAAGACAGGTAGATATTCTTTTTGCAATCGATATCAGTTCCCGGTCAATAACCATCGGAGATACTGAGGTTTGAGTTTGAATGGTTATACCAGGGACGTATAATACATATACGTCCCTGATTATACTATATGTCCGTTTTTTCTTTTGTTTTTCGAAACTTTTAAAAAAAAAATATTTGTAAGTTTTATTCAACACTTAACCACTATGCAATACATAATACTTAGTTATGGATGGAGACAGTTATTTTATTTGGGTAACATTGGCTTTTTTGTTTAGTATTGTGGACACTAAGCTATGATCATAGATGGGTTTTTCCAATGGTATCGTTTAATTAAATGAGATCTCAGGTTTTGAAATTCGGAACAAATCAATATATACGTCCCTGATAAAATGCAGGTATGTAAATGTCTCGCATTTCAGTATCAATTTCTCTTATTGTGACCTTATATCTAATACATGAAATATAAGGATGTCGAACAAATGAATATAACACAGCAGTAGGAATTGAATTAAGATAACAGATGTGATACCATAGGTCTTTGACCCAAACTCCAACATATGAGCTATATACATAACTTTATACATCCATTGTTATCGATTATTATTTCTGTATTTTGTCAGACATTTCTTATCATTCCAATAATTATACCCCCACAATTTGTCTGTGCGTCCGTCCGTGCGTGCGTTCATGCGTGCATGCGCCCGGAACTTGTGTACTTGTCAGATTTACACCATATTATCACAGGGTAAAGTTCTACCCCGGAAGGGATTTTGATTGTTATTGGTGAAGAATGAGGGTCAAAAGCCACCATTGACCTCTTTGCATAATCACGTTATACACTAGAATCACTTCCTAGTTCGGGGGTGGGGGAGGGTATATCTATGTGGCCCCCACTCACTTTGCTTAGAATGTTACTGTTTAATATACCAATTTTCGCATAATCTTTGTTTAATAGTATGTTCTAAAGGACACGTTCTATGGCTTTCAACTTTTCTGAAACACTAATTAAACGTTTTACACAGCGGGTAGTCGCTAGCGCCCATAAAGGTACGTATCTACGTTATCTACGTCCCTGGCCTATATGACCCGTTACCTAGTCCCAATATCAAAATTTTCATGATCTACGAGGTCACGTGACACTGTGACCTAGTTGACTTAGCCTCCCCCTGTAAGTGATGCTATGTTAGTTTTACATCTGTATGTACATCTGTAAGTAAAATTTCCAGAAATAAACACAACAGACAATTCCTTGTCAATATCAGACGCTCAGTGCATTTTAGTAATTTGACAACTGAAAGCATGTACTACACCAGTCAGTGGCATTAACTAGTAAAAGTAAACACCTTATTTGGGGGTATCTACCCTTATTAACAACTGTGTAAATACGTATCATTTAATATCATCAATATTAGCTAGTATATCACCATCAATGAACTATTACAATCATAATTGTTGGTACCATCTGGTCGCTCAAGTTTTTTTTTTCAAATGTAATGTTTATAACAGTGTCAATATCAAAATTGATCAACGTTCAATTTAATCAAACAGTTTTGTTCGTATATTTCTTTTATGGTGATGACTATCGACAGCTAATTCCTTTGCCCCCGGGCTATCTCGACAGGGCACATGTCTGCCGCAGAGATTGCTTTGTGATATCGAATTGTTTGCTTCACCGTTTAATACTGGTAATCATCTGAATAAAAGTCACATAGACACATATACATATATTTTTTTTATCAAAGTATCTTGTATTAATACATAGAATACGTATAAAATCTTAACATGTATCAGTACCCAGTCATTAATTTCGCTAACGAAACGCTGTATGTTTATTGAGAAAATTTTTAAAATGTATCACCTCTAGTAGCATATGATCGCCTAACTGAGAGCATGTGTAATTCATACCATTTTTTTCTATACAAGAATTATGTACATCATAAGGATAGTGAAACTATTAATGAACTGTATTTCTTAATTATAATTGCCAATTATGTTTTTCAATTGATGTATATAGTATGTCAAGTAATGTTATTGTTAACAATTGTATATGCGTTGATATGTAAATGACTATTATTCTGTTTGTAAAATCTTCAGCTTGGAGGAAATAAAGGGAATGATAATAATAATAATAATAATAATAAGTCACATCGTGTGGTTGTTGCTTACATATTTACTCTTATTTTTTTCAGAATACCCAGTACTTGGTCAAATGGCTAAACTATCCTCTATGGGAAGTAACCTGGGAGCCCGAAAGTCACCTACCGTGTCATCTGATTGAATCATTCAACAATCCGTCTATAGACAACAGTCGTCTACGACATGCTACAAACGCCTTTGAAATTGCAATTAAGCAACGGCTCTGTTCACGAATTAACAAATTATCATTAGATTTTGACCTTGACATCTATTGATATTGTTATTACACTTTAATCGCCGCCGACATAAATTTGAAACTTTGATTTATGTGTACATTTTGTATTGTATTCTTAAAGCTCTATTTATTTTCATGTGTGTATTTCTACAATCAACTTCATTGTTAGCATTGTACCAATGATAAAATATTTCTTGATATGACAGAAATAAAAATAAAATATATACAATAATAATAGTAATTTATTGTTGTTATTCTGTAAAGGAAATAAAGGGTCAAGTATGTTTATCACAGTCTGACTTTGGTCCTATATATAGAATGTACAGGTCACATGATTATCCCGACTTGACCCCGATTGGGATTTAAGGTGCAGTATGAGTTATCTCCCTAGCTGGTAATGTATCCGATAACGATAAGGTCCCTTATGGAGCCCCAATGTTATAGTAACCAAACAAACATTGATAGACACAATATTGCTGCTGAAGTGTTAGAATAAGAAAGAATGATATTGTGACGACCTCTCACCGTATTTGTTATCACAATTGTGTATGTTAGCTATCGAACGAGAACAAAATCGCCATCAAAAATTCTACAGTGATGTCGGGATAGTATTAATTCATTCACCCGTTTTATAGCCAGGCACTGACGATTTCTATTTATAGTAACATTGAAGATATTGTGTTAATCCAGAGACGTATATAGCACAGTGTTATATACGTCTCTGGTTAATCTATACACTTACGGCATAAGTATAGACAAAAATAAACACGATATATTCTATATCAATAGTATATACATAATAACATACTTTACCTCGTCTGTCCACTAGACGGATGTGCCACCCAAATCAGGTAGTAAAAGACCGGATTTTCCAAGTTAACTCCAGTAAGGTGTAACGGGGCCTGCCACGGGGGAACTATCAGAGTATGTAATAGTTTATACACAGCAAGTTACGGGTACGGCTTAGACAGTGAGTAGGTTATCCTATTCTGAAATAAGATTGAAAATTTTTATTGAATAATTTATTTGTTAAGGAGTTGATGGGAAAAACTTTATTTTATGTAAATTTATCTATATATATGTACAATTTGTATATAGGTAAAGTATGTTAAGATCAGAATGAATAGAAAATATATTTATTTTTTATCAAACACAACATACACGTATATTACGTCGAATCCATTTAACTACTTCATAGCACCCGGCCTTATTTTCATGGTACTTGTTTTCAGGAGTCACCGTGTACATATTTTTTTCTTCATATTTCGTCTTAAATTAATCAGAAAATTAAACTTCTTATCATGATTACGTGACATTATGTAGTTTTTTTGTTTACATACATTGTAATAATATAATAATGATAACATGCAATATTTATATATAGCGCTCTTTGCTGATAAAAAGGTCAGCTCTAAAGCGCTTCACAAGCCATGTTTTAAAAACTTATCTCTACTATAAAAATAAACATACAGAATACATCATATATACATCGATGATGATACAAATAAGTATTGGGTAAATTTCGGAAGAGTCAAATACTAGCGTAATCTAATTAAAACACAGTTAAAACACTATTTACACATCAGAAGCACGTTTGGAGAGATGCGTTTTCAGTCTGGATTTGAATACTGTGAGTGAGTCATATTTTCACAAGTGGCAAGGTAGATCATTCCACAAACGTGCTACCGAGTGGTCAAAACAGCGGACTCCGTATGTAGCAGTTCCTGTTTTAGGGACAATCAGCATATCACTAGACTGTGATCTCAGTGTTTTTATATATGTTACAGTAAGATTGTGAAATCAGGAATTTCGTGAAATCACTGGAACTTTCAGAGAGTTCGTGAAATCCCTAATTCACTTAGTAATTTCACGAAATCACTAAAATCTTCAGGGATTTCCTGTAATTACTGGAATGATGCTTCTGTTATTTCACAAAATCCATGGAAGACCTTTGCGTTAGAATATAGTAAAAAAAATATGTATATAAATATATATATTGTGTTTTCTAAAAGGTTTCTATCTTAATATTTATGAATTTATAAAGTATTTAATGAAAATACTCGCTTTTGATCGATGTTCTGCTACACTATTTACCTACCTACCCACCCGTTTACCTGCCTCTACCATTATTGTGTAACAGATAAAGTATCTTTTTAATGCCTAAGATTGTGCCGTATATCTGCTTTTCATGTCTAGGACTTATTCAATGTGGGTGCAATAAGAAAACTCGTCATTCAGCTTAAAGAAATTTTAAAAAGTAAATCGGGAGGGATGGTACAGAACCATATTTAATGTATTGACAAGTAGGGGAAGTGGGAGAGAACAAAGCTTAAGATCATGAGGGAAAATTGGTACAAACATATCGAATGATATGCTGAAGGTATATAAACAGCACATGGATTGACTAAATTTGATGTACA